AACCTGATAATGACCAGCGGACCGGCCCTTAGGTGCTACATTGTAATGTGCTGGGAGGTTTAGGCTACAGGGTTTATACCGAGGGAAATATGCGGGGGACCGTATTGGCATCATTGGTTTCAATGCATTGTACTTCTGCCTTAGTTTCAAAGGCAATAAATTCTTTTTGAAGGGTGTCCTGAGATTCCAAAATTAAGAAATAATTGTACTTATTTGAGAAATTGATCTTAAAGTTTTATAAATTGAATTTTCTTTATTTTATTAAATAATATTCTTTGGTTTTTGAAGATCTTTTTACAAAGCAAAACATTATTTTTCATTCTAGATACAATAACATGCATATTGGCATACTTTGTTTTAATATAAAATTGTTATAACTCCAAGTTTTGCAAGTCACATGACCAATTCTTAGAGAGTTGATTGGTTGAAACAGTTGATATCAGATATGACAATTTGAAATTAGAAATAAGTTGTTATTCCGGTGGGAAATTGTATCAACTCCATTTCCATAGTTTTAAAAAAGGATCTTGTAAATTGTTTCAAGGTATGATATTTCATATAAGATATCTCTAGGGTGAGACCAGGTGACATACAAAAAATCAAGTTTCACATAGCAATACTATGTAAGATACAGACCTCTAAACTTTCAAACCTTGATTTCTCAGTTCCGTAAAAATGTGAGATAGTACAAAGTTATTCTCATGCGACGACATGTACATACACAAACAGCATTCCATTTCTGTGTAAAATATTTTTGGGTAAAAATGATACAAGGGGTGATCAATAAGTTTTGGGCATAAATGAAAAGATAAACTTATACATTTTCTCATATCATCACATGCAGTCCTACATTTAAGTTGTAGCTCAGAATCTACCACAGACATTAAATGCAACATAAACGCATCTTGAATTTTTGACTGTAATTGTTTTAAGTGCATGGTCAATATAATGGGTAATGCATGATAAGGTAATTATGTATGATCTATAAGGGGCCATCTATGATATTTTATTTACTCCCATTGAATATCAAATTTATTTTGATCAACTAAATTGCAGTATAAACCATGCATATGAAGAGAGTGAAACCTCATATGAGCACTTCTCAAAAATGAACACCTAAAAATCTCAACACTTTTAGATCGTGTATGCCCTCAATACCTATAATGTTATCAGACCCTCTTAATGCAAACACCTCTCAATGGTTAATTTTAATGGGTTTTACAAGATATTACATGTGCAAAGTTTGTTGAAATTAAAATTAATTTGTAAAATTAACTAGTAGACTCTAGAAGAATTCGATTATCCCAGCAAGCATTAAAATAAAGGCTAACGGTTTTTTAACTCAGTCAGATTTCAGTGATCATAGAGACTGGTACATTGCCTCTAGAATGAGAGGCCCCCCTCTAGATGTAGCCTTGCCCCAAGTCAGTATTTTTTACTTCATCTGATCTTGAATTATTACCGCCTTGTGTAATCCGATACATCTCCACTGTTATTATGATAAATTATGCACCAACTATTACACATGCGCTAAGGCATTAGCCAATAGCGGTAGTCGTAAACAAAAATCAATAAATAAATCCACGTGTTCGCCATGCGGTTGTGAAGTTATAACAATCATGCGGCATGCTTGCAGTCTGCAAATCCAGGTGTCTCCCTTACAAATAAAACGCATTCACCAGAAACCTAATAACTTTTCATCATCCTTTTTACGGCATATCTTAACTATAAGTGTTTATATGTGAACTGATCAGTCATCAACTCTCTGATATTAAATTAAATCGGTTCACTACATTCAAATTACTTTCAATTATATTTAGCAAATAAAACGTTTATCGATTTTGCGAGGGTCATTTTCAGTTTTCCTAGCTGATGAAAGTAAAGCGAGGTAGGACTTCCCACAATGCCAATATCAAAGGTTCAAATCAACAACCGCATTACCTCGTGTGTTTGTAACCTAAATTTAGACATTGAAAGATCGCGCGCTATTGGTCAAAATCACCGACATAAACAAACTGTTGGTAAAGCACGTGGCTTTCTCTTTGGTACAAGGCAGTCATAATAGAAATCAAGATAAGTAAAAGAGACCGACTTGGAGCAAGGCTACTCTAGATGGTACTTAAGTAGTTTTTCAGACTGTGACAATGATTCTGAAGCATAACGCTTTGAGATGGCCCCTTACATTAATGAGGGTCACAAACACAATATTGAGGCTTCATTCTAAAAACATACATTGTCTTACACTTTGCCAGAGGGCCACTGTCTGCAGGGTGGACTGGAAGGTGCATATAAAGTACATTTAAAGGGACTCTGTCCAAATCTCAATAGTTGCACAAACATATATTATTTGGTTCTGGTTTATTCCCTCACTCCCAAAATAACTCTGTTCAACTAAATGAAATTTGAAAAATGTCGACCTTTATTTTTCCCATATTATTCAAAGTAATTGTATGTAATCAACCATAACAGTTTTCGAGTAATTCACTTTGCTTTTCCACAACTATTGCTATTTGGAGACATGCCCTAACAATTAATATAATAAGACATAATTTAAGGTACATTAGCTTAAAGATACTACAACAGAAAGAGATCCTCTAGGTGTCTCTATATATAAGTTGTATGGTACTTTGATACTTCAGAAATTCAAAATCATAATGATATAGATTTGCCACCCAACCTTTTTATCAAAAAATATACCTGCAAAAAAATATCAGATTCAGATTTCGGATTTCAGATATTACATGTAATTACTATTTTGAAAAACATACATGACATTCAATACAACATGACGCTCTCAAGAGCATATAATATGTTGGCTCAAGAGCATATATGTTATAACTCACATGAGCTTTGTTAACTGATTCATTTCTTGAAAATGGTGTTATTTTTAGAATTATTTAGAACAATTCTAATAGATAACATTCTTCTTGTATCACAGTCTCAAACTTTTTGATAAGAAACAAAATGGAACATTCATAATTAATGATTGATGATTCAACCAATAAAATGTTAATTTGTTTATTTTTTCCTGAAATGGGCTTCAGGGTAAAGGTTTCCCAAGAATTATACATTCTTTATTTTAAAAATAAGCCAATGACATCAAGACCCGTCGTTTCCATTCAAATGAAATTCACTTTTTCTGAAGATAAGGCACAATGACACTTGCTTAACAAGGCTAAACAAAGTAATAATATGCTTCACTGCCCTAATGTGTTCAATTACAAGAACTTCAGAGACGGGGATATCTCTTACAAAATACCAGGATGTAAGACTGATGCAGTATTCTATTAATCACTGCTGTGTAGGTAGGGAGTTTTCCAGGGATGACTGATGCTCTCAGTGGAGGGGGGGGGGTAGGCCAAGAAATCTTTCAAAATCATGCAATTTTCACAATTCTGAGCACTTTTCAAGTGATGGGAAATGTGAACCCCTCTGGAATTTTTTGAAAAGTGTGCCCCTATTCTCTTGGCCATCTCCCCCTCCTCATTAAATACAGCCCGTGGCATCTACATGTACAAGGCACTGCATGATGGCACAGGATCAAAAACATTATTTCTACAAAAATGCTAGGAGGAAAGGAGAGAGCAGAAAGCATTCAAACAAACAATTTTCTCAATATGGTTTTATTATGATAATCCATTAGTACCGGGATCTTATTCCTCTAGGTTTTAACAGAAAATATCAATTCTAATGCAAACAAATAAATTGCTCATAAAGGCACAACAGAGTTATCTCCTAGTGCCAGACTATATTAATATGAAGCCCTCTCATTGAATTTTCTCATTTCTTAAGGTGGCACTCTTTTAACTTGTAAATGCCATAGGGACTTGTGGCTTGTTTGTATGCTTGTGACAATTAATAAAGTGGCATATGGGGTTCTTTTTCCCAAGAGATTGCTAAAATAGTAAGTAGTGTACATTTACCATGACGAACAATTTATTGAGCAGACAAGCAGTTTACTTGCATGAATGATAGAATTAAAATAAAACCATTCCAGAACCTGCAAAATGCCCCTATTCTCCAGGAAATGTTCAAGAATGTTGATGTTATATTCAATTTAGCTTATGAACGAATTAGCAGCCATAGTGATCTCCCCAGCAATTCGATCATTTTTGGGTCCAATTTTGGAAAAAGAGAACTTTAAACCCACTTGTGATAACACTGGAACATGTCCGTGTCAGTTAGTGTTTATGGTGGTTATCATGCAAGCAAGATATTAAAGCAACAGTGTCCATGATTGATAGCCCATCAATATTCCAAATGATTGCCATCATTAAAGAAATCACATTAAGTTGCAAATTGGACCAAATGTTTGTCTCCATGCGGTTATCACTTTCAAATTGAATGATGGATTGAAGAGCAACAGGCAATAAATACAAAACACTTAATAGATGAGCCAGATAATCCACAGGAGGTTTAGCATGGACTTGCAGAAAATGGTGCAAATGGTGCAATTAAAGTAGAAGAATCCCAAGAGGCCTAAATTTGAGCAATGGCGCAATTAATAAATAGCATAGAGCCATCTCACCAAATACAGTCACGAAAGAGGGTGGTACTTCTATTTAATCTTCTTCTTGGTAACAAAGGAGGAGAGAATTGGTGTAAAAGAAAATTGTGAAAAAGATAGCTGGCTAAGGAGTGGCATTATAGAAAGAAAGAACATGCGATGTGACATTATCAAAGTCCCTCTTTATCCAATGATCATAAAAGACTCAGAATCTAGTTCTGCTCCAGACTTAGCAGAAGCTGCAGAACCCACAATTAGACAATGAAAATAGATGAGATACTTTAACTCCATAGGAAGTAAATCAAAAACTAATTTTGAATGTTATTTTACTCACAAATGATAAACTTGTGATTATCAGATCATTGCAAAATAAAATTGTAACCAATGTTAGCTTCGGGGAGGTATAGACAAAGAGGCATCTCGCAAGGACAACAACCTGGGTAACCATAGAAACAATGAAATCAAAATATAAAGACTAGTAACAGTTACTTACATTCCATGTAGAATGTAAAACACATGTTCATGAGTGTTTTAGCTGGGGTATAGTCATCACTCTCATTGCATTCAAACAAGACAATGGCAAAGTACTGAACCATCTGGTAGAATGTCGATTCTGTCACTTTCTTGTTGCAAGCTCGCTGAAATATACAAAAAAACATAAATTTTATTTTATTATACCCAAGCTAGTTTTAGATTTCCTTATACCATTTTATTTCAATTCAATTTTTTTTTTAAGTTCAATTCATAAATTATTCATTCATTAATAGTAAAAGTACACATTAAAATGCAAGGGCACTGGTTTTAACAAGCTTTTTGGAAATGTGCTTGGTCTTCAGATTTCGTTAATTTCTAGCAAATTGATTTAGTTTTGTTCATAGCTTGTCATGATTGTTGGTTTATTTGAACAATTCGAATAAATTGTTCTAGAGAAAATTGGAATACTGTTACAGTATTATGTTCTATTATATTCACATTAAGTTTAGTTTATCTATATGTATATACTGTAACTGATCTTTATTAGAGATCTTAGGTCAAGGTCACAATGACATTATATCTTGCAAACATAACTGAACTGAATGACTCATTAACCCTTGACCACCCAGAGAGTTCTAGAAAATATAACCATTCATTAAGACTTAATCATGTGACTGGAGATGTCCAATCAAAACTCAACAAGTAGTCTCAGTTCCAGAAGATTCTTTCTAGATGATTCTTTCACACTATAAATAAAACTGCAAAGTGGACTCAGTAGCAGATAATTATAAGTCATTAACTGGACATCTCAAAGGAACTAAATAAAGCAGAATTTCAAAGTTTATCAAAAGGACATCTTCTTAGCGGAATATTACAGACACCTACTGTGGGAACATTTATAACAATACAAACATACAACCTGAGGACTTTCATATGGACATATATTGCAACACACACTATATACGGAATATCATATACATTCGTGGATTATCATAAACATTTGTGGATTATCATCAAACATTATTGGATTATCATCAAACATTATTGGATACGAACATTATAGGATTACAACAAACATTATTGGATTATTACAAACATTGGAGAACTATTAACGATTATTGAAACATTTCGTGATCCGGAACATTCTCAAGGATCGTCAACGACATTTATCGACATCAAGAATAAGCCGTATCATTGATTGGACATCACATAAGTATTAAATCTCCTTTATATTATTGTTAAATTATTTAGTTTTCAAAATATAAATATATTGTTATCATATTTTAATTGCTGTTTTTACTTTCTGTTATTTTCGAACGTAACAGAAATTGGGGGCTCGTCCGGGATACAACTACAACAAGCTAAAATTCAAATATTTCAAAATTCGAAATCCAAAACTTGTACATTTAAATTGTGAAGACAGCAATTAATTGAAAATGAGTTTTGAGGTTGAGACATTTTTAGGATCGCCCTCTTTGGAGGAATTTGACAGTTTAAAGAAAACTGAACTTCTGGCACTAGCAAAACATATTGGTTTGGCAGTAAAAACTTCATACCGAAAAGGTGCAATAAAAAACATTCTGGTGCCATATTTGGTGGCGGAAGAAATATTACCAGAAGAAGCATTAAAGCTTACTGTAGAGCCAACCCAGCATGTTGATCCTACTGAATTTCAACAGCAATTACAAATGAGAGAACTTGAACTCAAATTACAAAATGAAATGAGAGAGAAAGAATTGCAAAATGAAAGAGAATTGAGAGAAAAAGAGTTAGAAATTCAAAGTGAAAAAGAAATAAAATTAAGAGAACAAGAAATTCAAAGAGAAATTGAATTGAAACGTCTTGAGATAGAAGCTCAATCCAAAACTGATGAACATGCTACTATGCATCAACATTTTGAAAATAGGTTTGACGCTTCAAAATTTCTCAAATTTGTACCTAAATTTCAGGAGAAAAATGTTGATAAATACTTTACACACTTTGAAAAAGTCGCTCAGAGCCTAGACTGGCCTAAATCTGCATGGCCAGTTATGCTTCAGAGTGTATTCATTGGTAAAGCAAGTGAAATATTTGCCTCTCTCTCAGCAGAAGTATGCTCTGATTATGACCTTATTAAAAATGCAATTCTTAAAGCTTATGAACTAGTGCCAGAAGCTTACAGACAAAAATTTAGAAATGCCCACAAACAGAGTGACCAAACCCATGTTGAGTTTGCTCAAGAGCAAGAGCAGCTTTTTGACAGGTGGCTTATCTCTAAAGATGTATCTGAAGAGTTTAAAAAGCTCAGAGAGCTTATGCTAATAGAACAATTTAAAAACTGTGTTCAGTATCACATTAGAACTTATTTAGATGAACACAAGGTAGAAACTTTAAGTCAAGCTGCCACCCTGTCTGATGATTATGCTCTTACTCATAAGGGTAGTTTTATCAAGGGCAATCCTAACTATAGAGGTTATCAAGGTAACAAACCTTCATATGACTCTAAATCAAATCAGTCCTCATCATCAAATACATCAAACAAAGCAAAAGACCAGTCTAATTCATCACAGAGTTCTAGCTCAAAATCAGATCAATCAAATTCTTCAGGTCCAAAATCAAATGTCACCTGTAACTATTGTAAAAAGTCTGGTCATCTTATTTCTGAATGCTATAGGATTAAGAATAGAAGAGAGATGTCTGGTTCTGCTCATTCAAATGGTTGTGCTACTGTTCCCATTTCAAGAAAGCCCATTGTTTGGGATTCATATACTCATACTGAGAAATCTACTCATAGTGATATTATGGAGGAATATAAGCCTTTCATGTCGGAAGGATCTGTGTCACTGTCAAGTGATGGTACCAATTCAAAGCCAATTAAGATTCTTAGAGACACGGGTGCATCTCAGACTTTGTTGTTAGAAGGTGTCCTTCCTTTATCTGAGGAGTCATTCACAGGTACCCATATCTTGATGCAAGGCATTGAATTAGGTTTTACTAAAGTTCCCCTCCATCGTATTCATATCACATCAGAGTTAGTCAAAGGGCCAGTTATTGTTGGTGTTAGGCCACAACTTCCTGTTGAAGGAGTCGCATTGCTTTTAGGCAATGATTTAGCTGGGGGTAAGGTATCGTTAGACCCCATTGTTTCAGATCAGCCTTGTTCTATTGAGGATTCTGTCCAAGAGGACTCTGATATATATCCTGCTTGTGCTGTTACTAGGGCTATGGCTAAAAAGTTAGCTAATAGCGGGGATTCGTCTGTGGGAGATGACTTTGATAGTGGGTTTTTAAGCTCCTTGTTTGATGATGAATGTCACTCACCACTTGTTAAAGATGGTCCTTATCCTATTTTAAAGGCAAATTCTTCATTGAAACAGTCTATTGTTCAAGCCAAGCAGCGATCTAATGAGGCATATTCTTCATTGAAAAAGCCTATTGCCAGGGGTGATTCACCTTCTGAGCAGGATCACTATTTTAATGCGGTTTCGCCCGCTCTTGCTAGTTCTGATGAAGTTTCATCTTCTTCTGCTAGTGTTCATGAGGTTTCATCCCCTCCTTGTTCTGAGGTTTCATCCTCTTCTAGTTCTGAGGTTTCATCCTCTATTTCTGATAGTGATTCTTTGAAAAATGATCCTCATTCTAAACACATGTTAATTTATGAACAAGAGCATGATCCATCACTCATTGATCTTCATAAAAGATGTCTTACTATTGATGAAGCTGACAAGGTCCCTGTTTGTTTCTACAAAAAGGATGGCATATTAATGCGAAAGTGGAGACCTCCTGAAGCTTCCCCTGAAGACGATTGGGCAATTGTACATCAAGTTGTTATCCCAAAATCATATCATAAGGAAATCTTGAGTCTAGCTCATGATTCTCCCATGGCAGGTCATTTAGGAGTAACTAAAACATACCATAAAATACTCAATCATTTCTATTGGCCCGAATTAAAACAAGATGTCCAAGAGTATTGTAGGTCTTGTCATACATGTCAAATGGTAGGGAAACCTAACCAGAAAATTCCAACTGCTCCTTTACACCCTATACCTGCATTCGATGAACCATTTAGTAAGGTTCTTATTGACTGTGTTGGTCCATTACCAAAAACAAAATCTGATAATCAATATCTGCTCACTATTCTCTCTATGACCACACAGTTTCCAGAAATAAAATCACTCATTGTGCTTGTGAATAACAAAGCAAACATTATTGAAAAATCACAAATCAACAATTTCACATTTGTTGGGCTACCAAAGGAGCTTATATCTGACTTACAATCTGACGCAGTGCTAAATGATTTCATTGGCATTGATAAAACAACCCCTGTGAGGTGTAGAGAGCTACACATGATGAAAAAGTATGTTGAGCGTGATAAAATTTCTTTACTCAACATGAGCTTGCGCTCTTAGCTCATAGGCCAAACTTGTATGTAAATGACAACTATATGTTATTCAAGAGTCAGATATTGTAAATTATAATGATTAACTCATGAAGATTATATTATATGGTAGGCAAATTAGAGATTTGTGATAACTGTCACTTTATTTTAACAATATATAAAAACATTTGCCTAAATAGTGAAATTGATATTATATGAACTACAAGAATGTTTCTAGATTATGTGAGCATTATAGGTAATCTTTAAATAGTGTCACAAGATTACTTGATAACATCAGAGTGTACTATTAGAAATACTTACATAAGATCATGTGATAATTTAAAACATTGTACTAGTTTAGTGTTTGTCAGACTCAAAAATGTATGCTATTGTACATGTTATATGATCTATTGTATGTATTGCATTTATGACTTAATGCATAACTTATGTAGATATTATTGTAGTATGGGATTATAAGAACATTATATGTTATTAGATTGTACTCACACTGTAACGATAGAAAGTATTATATACTTGTAAACATACTGCACATAAAAAGACTATTGTAAACAAATATTATGTAAGTCTCAACCTCACTTTTAGAAATTGTAACGCTCGCTACTCAAGATATTATTGTAAAAGTTTTTCATTATATTCAAAACTTTTCTTTTAAGGAGGGAGGTGTTACAGTATTATGTTCTATTATATTCACATTAAGTTTAGTTTATCTATATGTATATACTGTAACTGATCTTTATTAGAGATCTTAGGTCAAGGTCACAATGACATTATATCTTGCAAACATAA